AAGATGGATCCTCACAGGTAAATAGTGTTATAGTTAAATAATGTGTAAATGAGCGAGCGGGTGCGGTAGAGCTGCTCCGGTTGTTCTGTCGTGTGCTGTAGGAGCGACACTTATCTTATTGTAGTTTTGCTGACGTCGTTGGGTCTGGGTGTGAGCGGCGTGTTACGTTGTGTTGTTGCGAAGTTTTCGCGTGGCTGTTCATTGTGCTCTGATATAGTTCAGCCACTAGTAATCAAAATATTCATAATATATATTTATAATTTTGGCCTTGGTGCCCCTCCCAAAAATTATACCACCATTTTTATTTTATTTAATTTGGTATCTCACATCAGGAGAAGTGTGTGGATCGCGTACCCTCGCGTACCACGCCCAGTACAGCCCTGGTGCTGCCCGATGCATGGCTCTTTCTTGCCCGGTTGCTTCTTTCAGTGATGTTGTTCAGGGTGTTTTTTATGAGAGGCTGTTGTTTAATGTTTACAACTAGTGGCAGGGCTTATTGTTTTTTTTGTTTTTTATAAATTTCAACCTTTTATTATCGTCTTGTGTGCGTATCGTCTACCACACAGCCTCAACACCTATTGCAGCTAATAATAATAATAATATTCATAATAATGATAATAATAACACATAATTAGCCTAATACTGTTTAAGAACAACGTATTTGATAGCATTTCTGCTTTGTATGACTTCACCGCGTTAAAATATTTCTCAAATGGCAGTGCCCCCCCTGCTGGTGACCCACGCCCCTCCAGTAGATGTGCTCTGACGCCGACTCTGTCCAAAAAGCAGCTATACATGTATGTTTTCACATGACAAGAGGTCATATCACTTACAAATACCAGGGTACTTGTAATTATCTTCAATATCTGCTATTGTTGCCACTGTTGTCAGCAGCTGGTTTGCTGAATTGGTAAGTCACTGAACTTCCACATGGTAGGTCTGGGTTCAAATCCCCCTTCAGACTCAGTTTTTTCTGCAACATATAATTAAAGAAAACAAACATTACATGGAACATACAAAAAAAATGTAGTTTATCATGCACAATACTTGTAAATCTAATGCAGAATGTTCACTTTATCTTTACTAGTTTTTCATAATATAGTTGTATGAGAAAAATGCAAAAGGGGCCACTTTCAGGAGTAAACCACACATGACACATATAAACCTTATATAAAGATTTACTACAAAGACAGTGGTAAATTCTTATATTTTTTTTTCATTTTTTTTTCCATATGGGAACACACATGATTATAAAACACACATGATTAAAAAACACACATGATTGAAAATTATGACTAATTTCCATCTGTTGTCCCAAAGCAGTCGATTCTCACATGGGGAACAGCAGGTGACCACTGAACGTGCTGTGGTTATTTTCATTATCAAAGACTTTTGAATTCTGCCACAGACGCAGAAACACAACATCTCCAGCCTCCAGGAGCAAAATGGCCCCATTGGCTGAAGTGCCGAAACCATTTGTCTGATGTTCATAAACAGCAAAAATATGTTTTCCATTCTTCACCAACACAGCAGCTGAACCTTGTGAAGAATGTCCAAATGCACCAATGTAGAACTCAAAGTGGTAGGCCCCTTTGACCGGTGGAGAGAAAAACCCTGTAGGATATGTACATAACCTTAGTGTTGGTAACGCTCACATAGATCACTGTAACATGTGTGATATATACACACACATACACACACACACAGCAGTTCACACAGGTCAAGAGCTTGTATAATATGAACATCAGAGCAAAAGTACAAAGCCCAGATACAAAACAGAACAGGAACATTAAAACCTGTGGTGGCTGGTGGTATATTTGGGGAGGGGGGGGTCCTAGGCCAAAATGATAAATATATTTTATTTATGGGCCAAATGCAATCAACCGTGTTGCTCCAGCCATATTATTCTTTGTACTTAAACATTTTAAAGCTTATTATGTATTGTTAATTATTTATGGTGCTCCCAGCCTGAACACCTGAGGCAGACAGAAAAAGAGGGTAAGTACAGATTTATTTCAATTTACACAATTACTCAATTAAATGCATGTTTTCTCTGTTACAGGTCACTTTCACTGTAACTCACATTTTAATCAATTGGTAAGCAACTTTTCATCAAGTACTACAAATTAGCATAAAAAGACGGTTCCAGGGCAGGCAACCATGTTATTAGGAGGGGTGCACAAATATTTTAGCTGTTTTTACTTCATATTGGGAAAGGATGGAGTTCCACATCTCCACCTAAAAGCCACAGGCCACTCTTTTGAACACAGTGAGATACAGATCTTAGCCAGAGAAAAGAACTGGTTTGAGAGGGGAGTTGAAGGAGCAGTGAAAAAAGAGGTTGCTGGATTTGCGTAAAAAAAGTTATGGAAAGCGGTTGCATGCAATAAAATTGTTTAGGCTTTGAAACTTATTTCGATCCCCTCTACACATATTTTTCTCAGAACATGAACGTCACTTTTTCATGTTGATGAAATTTGATCAAATCATGCTGAATATGCATATTTATCTTATGTTAACTTATTGTGAAATGTATAAGTATGTATAATTTAATTTAATTGATCTAATTCTGTAAAAGAATACAAAAACTTCTTAGTGTTTAGTTTTCCACAGTTTTGTATTGTCTTGAACAGAATCAAACACACAGAGAGAGCACAGGGACAGAGACACACAGTGTGGAGCTGGACAGTGTGAAGATTTATTCAAGTGAAGAAGCTCTGGTCTCTGCCTGTGGACACAGAATAACACCTGATCACATGATGATGATCTACTCTGTTGTACATGTTTAAATACACTTAAAGTACTTATTACTACAATAATGGACCAGAACAGAATCACAAAAACATTAGAACTGTATCTGCAGAAACAAAACTCCCCATGTACTGTTTTTCTTCCTCTAAATGCAGTAACAGGTAGGGCATCTGATATAAAGTCTCCTAGTGTCACATAACCCTGTCGAAATACTGTTTCAATAGGAAGGTCATTTTGAAAAATTCTTTTAAAATCATTTTAGTTGGTTTACTTACTTTGTTCATCTGTGGTCTGTGTTTTGTTCATTCTCAAACATCTTCCTTTTTTTCTGAAACATCAGCTGTAACATTCATGAAATTCCCCACAGCTCCAGCAGAGCTCTGGATATCACTCTTTGTTTGTAGACGACTCTGGAACAAACACATTCAAATCTTAGTACAACTGTCACCCTCTTGTAGAACAGTCCTTACATTAACTCTAATTTCAAATAAAACATCACAAACATGTTTTAGCAATGATGACATTCTAGGCCAGAGAAACATATAAAATCTTTGAAAAGTCTTACCTCCAGATCTGCTCGAATAATCCTTCTGCTCCACACTGTGTGTCCTCTGCTCCTGTATCTGTCCTGTGTCCTGCTGCATTTGAATTTTCCCTCCAAAAGTTTTGGGGAGGAGAATTCCAGAGGGAAATTAATGTCAAAATATCGCGTTAATTGCGATTAATTAATTACAGTCATATTTAGCGCGTTATGTTTTTTAATCGCGTTAATCTCATTTTAAATCTCTAAACTTTACTGTTTCTGTATGCGAGTTGCTTTTATTATAAAATCTGTTTTTATGTGTTGTTGGGACAACAACACACACACACACACAAAAAACACATTTATAATTTTTTTTTTAATTTCGGTAATTCCACTCAAGACTTAATCCAAAGAACTAAGACTTAAAAGTGCTAAGAACTGTTATTTCTTCTTGTAGTCTGCACTGAAATGGAGCAAAGGATCATGGTCTTTTTTTGGCTATTGCTGCACCATAACTCTTAATTTAAGCAAAGAGACTTGTAATTCGATATATTGTGATGCTCCATGATATTATTGTGAAAACTTTGACGAAACAGTATCACAGTATTTCGGTTATTGTTACATCTCAACTAATTAGGGTAACTGAGGCTGAAAATATGGTTCATTTTACCAACCGCTAACCATGTTTAAGAATTCTCCTGGCGGTGCCTCATGAAAGAAGAAAAGCACTAGTTCGTTATGGACATGGCTTTATTATTATTTATTTATTCACACAAACAGCTCACATTTGGAATTTGTCTCTAAAATATGCCCAAATTAATCAATTGAAAACAGATATTTTATGTTATTAAATGTGTTGCCATGGATCCCCTTTGAAGCAATCGATTCTCACATGGGAAACAGCAGGTGACCACTGAATGTAGTGTGATGATTATGATTATCAAAGATCTTTGAATTGGCGAACTGACGCAGAAACACAGCATCTCCAGCCTCAAGGAGCAGAGTGGCTCCATTGGCTGAAGTGCCGAAACCACTTGACTGATGTTCATAAGCAATAAAAATGCGTTCTTCATTCTTCACCAAAAAAGCAGCTGAAGCATGTGAAGAATCTAAACGTGCACCAATGTAGTACTCAAAGTGGTAGGCCCCTCTGACCGGTGCAGTGAAAATCCCTGTAGTTATATGTACATAATGTTAGTGTTGGTAACGCTCACATAGACACTGTAACATGTGTGAGTTTATTCACCTGTGTTTGGGCTGTAGGCGTTTCCAATGTTTGAGACTACATTTTTGAAGACCAAATTGGCCTCATTGTTGGAGGGTCCGAGGGTTACTTCACTTGAAGCCGTTAAAGAGGCGGAGAAAGCCACTTGTCCCACTGGAAAACAGAAACACTGAATTGATGGCACAATGTAGAATAAAAAAATATATGCAGCTAAAAAAGTATAATGAAAGTCTGTGACAAAGAGAGCCTTTGTCTCTATTTACTCACATTTCATTTCATTTACATCTGTTTCCATAATCAACTAAACAGCTAATTATCACTATCCCAGGTTTGTTTTATTTACTCTTTGTTAAGTTAAGTTAATCACTTCACACCAGTTACTTTAAATATATTTTATCTGGTTATATCTATTATCCTTACCACCTTACTTGTTACTCCACATGGTCTGGAGACAAGAGAGGGAGCATGACCTCAGTCAGCCATATTTGAAGGCTTTGGGGGAGGTTTTGTGGAGGGAAGACTCTGTTTCAGTTCTTTTGTTTTATGGAGTTTGTTTGTATGATTTTTGTTATTTCAGTGTTTCTAGTTTATTTTGAGCACTTTTAATTAAAGGGGACTTAGGCCCTCATAAGAAAGTAAACTGCAGAAACAGGGAAGTTGATAGAACTAACCTGTGTTTGGTGGTGCTGTCCCTGGGGGAGGTAGTTTCTGTCAGGGAACTATAAATTGGGAGCAATTCAGCCAGTCGGGGGTTCACCATCACTGCAGCCGAGTGCACGTGGGGTTTTTCCTTTGTTTTGTTAATTTTTGTTGCTTTTGCCTTTATTTAAGCACAGTTATTTTTTTTGTAAATATGTAATTTTTTTATTTTTTTTTTTTTTTGGCCACAAATCTACGGTGTATCTTTTTTTTTATGTTGAAGCAGAGAGAGATAGAGAGATAGAGAAGAGACCGTCATGGCAGGACAAGCCCCTACACGGGTCGTACCACTGGAACATAACTGAAGTGGCTGATATCAAGAAATCCTACCAATGGCTGGAGAGGGCTGGTCTGAAGGACACACAGAGGCTCATCCTGGCTGCTCAGGAGCAGGCCCTGGCACTCGAGCAATAGAGTGTAGACTGTGCAAAGAGGCTCCTGAGACAGTCCAGCACAGAACTGCAGGTATAAGATGCTGGCAGGGAAAGCAAACATGGAGTGACATAGCCAACTAGCAGGCATAGAGTACAGAAACATCTGTGCAGAGTACGGGCTGGAGACCTCAAGATCAAGGTGGGAAACACTTCCAAAGGTTGTGGAGAATGACTGAGCCAAGATCCTGTGGGACTTCCAGATACAGACTGACAGGATGGTGATGAACCAACCAGACATAGTGGTGGTGGATAAGAAACAGAGCAATGTCAGGAAAAAGGAACACGAAAAACTAGAGAAATACTCAAGGAAGAGAGAAGGCTGGACATCAGTGGTGCCCATGGTGATCGGAGCACTCGGGGCCATAACCCCCAAACTGGAAGAGGCTACAGCAGATCCCAGGAAAAACAACAGACATCTCAGTCCAGAAAAGTGCAGTACATATAACTTGTGTTGTGAATATATTTCATGTGTTGAGATAGTTAATTTACTTAATTTTTGTTCTTTAAATGATTATACTAAAACTGGAGCTGCTCCTGTGGTCTGTGTGTTGCTCCAGCTCCAGCTCCTCTCCCTCCTCTGCCTGTGTTACTGTGATAGAAGTGCTCGGTGCAGAGACACAGACACAGGAGGACACTTCTCTCTCCTTCTGTCTGACTTTAAACTAAGTTATGGATGAAGAAGGTCCAAATATCTCTTTGTGGAAGTTTTTCAAACAAAAACATGGCATGTTCAGCGTGGTCCACAGGTGATTTACACGTGCGTATATTTCATATAAAGTATTTTTCAATCTTTTTGGATCTTTTAGAGAAACAGTGAGGGAGCGCGCGGAATGAACGCACCCTGTGCAGTGTGGCCGCTGTCAGTGTGAGCCTCACCTCCTGTCACAGATTTTCTATTTTAAACCACAAAACCCATGTATGTATGATCATATAAAAGTGTTTCTCACCTTCCACGGTGGTTGTTTTCTCAACCTCATCCAGCTCAGGTCCTCTACCAGAGGCCTGGGAGCTTGAGAGTTCTGCGCAGTATCTTTGCTGTCCCCAGTACTGCACTTTTCCGGACTGAGATGTCCGTTGTTTTTCCCGGTATCTGACAGAGCAGTGAGCTTCTTGACACTAAGCAGATATTTTTATCCCCAAAATGACTGGTGGGTCAGTGCCCTGACTGCACATCGCTGATTATATATGTATATTCCACTTAAATAATAATCCATTGCACTTCATATATTGAATACTATACCTTCTTGTTGACAGGGCTGCTTCTCCAGCTCTTTGAGTTTGGCTGCTTGTTCTACATAGAAAACATACTCAGGGTGAATTAGGTTTAAGGTCTAAAGTCACTGTATGGTGAAGTTGAACCTGACCTTGGTTTATCATCTGCATATGCTCCATCTTCACTTTGTGTTCAGCCAGAGTAGCGCTCATGTCCCGAAGTGCAGAGTGGATATCTGACAGACACGACTGGGGCGTCTCCAGTGTTGAGTTCCCATGAGCCAAGATCACAGAGCAGAACAGCAGCACAAAAACCAGAGTCTTCTCCATCATTAGACTGAACTGAGTCCTCTAAGCTGAGGCCAGACTTTTATTGAAGTCATGACGTCAGCATCCTAATCCATTAGGTTTCTTGACATCTGAGTTTTTCTGAGTATTTTGCCCTATGCACGCATAAAAACTGCACGTTTTGGACATCGGACATAGGACTTCCGCACTTCCTGCACTAGGCACACATATGGAGCAGCACGTCCAGTGCACATATTGTTTTTTGGCCTAGAGCAATGCAGAAACAATCCAGAAACACTATTTATGGTCTTTGTGAGTTTTTTTTTTTTTTATCCTCTATATCAGTATCTGACAAAGAGTTTAGTTTGGTTTAGAACATTTTCTCCCCGATGGTCAATTCCTTTTGCGGTCACAAATCACAGGACCCCTCTCTCACACACACGCACGCACACACGCACACACACACACACACACACACACACACACACACACACACACACACACACACACACACACACACACACACATACAGCAGTTCACACAGGTCAAGACTTGTATTAATATGAACATCAGAGCAAAAGTACAAAGCCCAGATACAAAACAGAACAGGAACATTAAAAACCTGTGGTTGCTGGTGGTATATTTGGAGGGGGGGGTCCTAGGCCAAAGTCACTTTCACTGTAACTCACATTTTAATCAATTGGTAAGCAACTTTTAATCATACAAATTTACATAAAAAGACGGTTCCAGGGCAGGCAACCATGTTATTAGGAGGGGTGCACAAATATTTTAGCAGTTTTTACTTCATATTGGGATACAATGGAGTTCCACATCTCCACCTAAAAGCCACGGGCCACTCTTTTGAGCAACTAAGTCAGGACAATTACAATATATCAGATCATATCAGATCATATTCCAGATCATAAACATTTTTTCTGCTCATTTCAATGCAAAGACTGTGGCAAAACACCAGGTGCATGACATTATTTAAATATAACATTGTGTGACCTTTGATAGAATACAAAAAACAAACAAATATCAATAATTGATAAAAGACCAAGCTGATTATAATAGCATTACATGGATTAATATGTACGTAGATAATAAGTCACACAAGTACATATACAGTAGAGCCCTGCGGGACACGACGCAAAACAGTGCGGCGCAGGGACACATTTTGAGAGCTCACTGCGGGCGCGAGCAGGAGCGGGACTGCACAACGCAGAAACTAAATATTAGTGTAAAGTAAAATATACAAATGATTCATGTAAGCCAGGCATATCCAAACTACGGCCCGTGGGCCTCGGAAAAATTTTTCTTGACCCTCAGTCTTCCAGGTGACTTGGCTCAAATTACCTTACATCAATTAAAAATAAACTTTTTACTGCAAGTTTTTGAAAATCTACCTTGATAAAGCTAATATTGAATATTTAGTGTGGTTTTGAGGATCTTAGCATGAATAAAGTCTGATGGTTCATTCTAACGTGGTAAACATGCAGGTATTTCAATTATTCACTGTATTGAGCACCAGTCTACAGCCCTTGATCAATCCTCTGCTTTGTCTGTGTTTAGATATGTGGCCCTTGATGAAAAAAGTTTGGACACCCCTGATGTAAGCATATCATGCATAATTTGTGCTGGATATTTTATTTGGCATTAATAAAAACATTTTAAGCAGCAGACCGCTCCCCCTCCCATACGCCGAGCAGAGTCCCCCCGTCTGTTACACCACGCAGACTGACCCACCCGTCCCATACGCCGTGCAGATCACCCCCTTCCTCTCGTTCGTTGCGCAGACTGTGCCACTAAACCAGGACTAAAACAGGATTGAACCAGAACTTAACCATGCCGCCGGACCGCCCACCGCGCCTCCTCCCATACGCAGCCCAATTCCTTTCGCTTCTCCATGTTTGATAGAGATTAAAAAAGCAAAGGTTCCCATCCTGCGGGACTTGCAGGCGAGAGCGGGACAAAATATTGCAGATGCAGAGGGTAGCTGGACTGAAATTACAATTCTTTGCGGGAGCGGGACTTCACAGTGCGGGAGCTGGACTGAAAATTCTGTCCCGTGCAGACCTCTACTATACAGTACCTGTGCAGTCAGCATAGTTAGTAGTAGTTCATCATGACACACCCTAATTACACAAACACTACATGCAAAAACTTAATATAATTTAGAACATACAAACATTATCAAATTTTAGCAATTGGTGATATTTTCCAACTGAGTTTTACATCAGTAAGTCCAAAGGTTTTGAACAACGTGGTGATCTAGAACAGAAAGAAGAAAATATTAGTTTTTTAATAATGTGGTGCCAGAATAATATATGTTTAATGCTGAATCCAGTCTCTGTGTTAAAGGTCCTACATTACACAAAATTGACTCTTGTGAGATTTTAGCCATGTGAGGATGTTGTTACCTTCTCAGTCCGTGTGCCATTCGTTCATTTGTTTTTCAATGTAAAACCAAAAATAAGAAAATGAAAAACCAATTGTTTTCTTCATTATTTGTCTCCAAAACCAAAATGAAAAAAAAAAACAGATAATGATTTGTTTTTTCAGTTTTCGATTTTGTGTTTAAATGAAGAATGGAAAAAACGGATAACGGCTTTACATGACTTCCGTGACTTCCGTGACTGTGATGCCAAACTTTTGCACCGCATACGGACTGAACCAGGACTGATCCAGGTCCGGGACCAGACCAGAACCAGACCGGGACTGGTCCCAGCCTGGTCTCAGTCTCAGTCCCGGTCTGGTCCCGGTCTGGTGTTGGTCTGGTCCCGGTCTGTCCTCGTCCAGTCTCGGTCTCCTCGTCCTGGTCTCAGTCTCGGTCTGGTGTCGGTCTGGTGTTGGTTTGGTCTGGTCCCGGTCTCAGTCCCGGTCTGGTCCCCGACCTGGATCAGTCCTGGTTCAGTTCGTATGCAGCGCAAAAGTCCGGCATTGCAGTCATGGAAGTCACGTAAACGGGAAACGGCCGTTATCTGTTTTTTCCATTATTCATTTAAACACAAAATCGAAAACTGAAAAAAACGAATCATTATCTGTTTTTTTTCATTTTGGTTTTGGAGACAAATAATGAAGAAAACTGTTGTTTTTTCATTTTCTTATTTTTGGTTTTATATTGAAAAACAAATGAACGAATGATACACGTATTCTTCTCAAAAACATACCTGGTGTTGGTGTTTTGTTTCATGCGTACGTTTCAGTAATCCTTTATCATTAGTTTGTCTACATCTTCAAACCTAAAAATGTTCTGTTTCATCTTGTGATGTCATGTAGTTGTAATTTTCAAAGTAGCAGGTACCTTTTACTCTTAGTTCGATAGAGATTCAATAGAGCTCCAGGAGTGAAATCATCCAAATGATTCTAGTGAAGATGTATGGAGTGTAAAAATATTGATATACTGATATTTTTGGCTACATAATCTTTTTACAGCCTCTACACAGCAAAGTCTACTCTAATTTTTTTTCTTGAGCTGCACTAGTAACCATACTTTATCACGTAGGGATCGGCATTTGATTAAGTTTTCTTCATCAGTCATCGGGAGAATTAACAATACATTTTTTCGAGTAATCATTAATGTTTTTATATATTAAAAGTATCATCATTATTATTACTATTTGTAATCTGCATAAATAAATGAAACTTTACAACATGTAAACCAAAACCACTATAGAGCCACATCAGCCCGTTTGACATTATGTTGTGTTTATGGCAGCTTTGAGCATATTTTACAACATTTTATAGAAACTAAACATAAAACTACATGTCTCATTTGCATAAACTATAAGCACTGAAAAAAAGAAAAAAGAAAAGTTCTTTCCTTGTGCGCTGATGCAGTTCAGCTTCTGTCGGACTTAAGGACACGACTCAGTGGAATATGAGTGTTCTGCTGTAACAGAGGGATGTTCTGTACTGTGTGTATACCGCGTAGAGATGGTTCATGTTTTCAGAGATCAGGCGTGTGCAGGTTTAGCTCAGCTCTGTATTTAACTTCATTTCACTCACTTTATTTATGTTGGTCACTTTATGTATTTTGGCTACTGTTGTGACGAAAAGACTGAAAAGTGTTTGTCTTTTGGACGCATGCAAACTCAACTTTATGTTGCAGTAACCGGGATATTGCGTTTACATGCACCATGACAAAACCAGTATACTCAAAAAACCCGATCATACTCGGGACACTGATGTGCTGTAAACAGAGTCACTGACAGGTACAGTGTCTCCATGGAGCCAGAGCCCAAATGTGGGACTGTGACGCCACAACTCCAGTGTTTGTGTCAGATGCAGCCTCGTCTCTTTACGCTACACACAGTAACCTACATTCAGTTTGTAGATTAAAAATGAACATGAGCGACGAAATTCTTAATGATCAGTTATCAATTAGTTGACTAACATGCTAATCCCTATTATCATGTCTTTACTGGGATTATTTTTTTTTTTTTTTAATAAACATACCAGCATATTGATTTATTTTATATTGCTCTTAAAGTAGCACAACATAACATTTTTGCCTCATTAAGTTCTTGTCATGATTAAATGTGTATTCTCGGGTGGTGTTTGAAGTGTCTGTTGTCTCCACCTGCTGTCCCCATGCTGAAAACCAGTCTTGCAACATGGCAGACACGCCACACACCCTTTATTTATTTATTTTTTTATTTGACAACATTATGTTTTCATGTGCAGTATGTGATTATACATATTATATATCTTGATTTTAATAACAACATGGAGCTGTAGGAGGAGCTGTATCACTGAAAGTTACTTAGTTATGCTTTAAAATTAGACAACCTGACCGAAAGTTACCAAAACCACTCATATTTCTCACATTTTAAAAGCCCATTTTAAGATGTTGCATATGTCATTCTATTGTCTAAAATCTTTTAGCTTGAGACACACCAGGTGCATATTACTGCCACTACGTACAAAACATATATAAGGATTTAAAAATATGAGTAAAATGTACCTTGTCTAGGATTTGAGCATTTGTTGCTGGATTGGCCAGATCAGCAGCAGTCTGGAGTATTGCCTTTGCCACT